AATATAAACTGCACATAATCCAGAGACCCAGCAAGGGATTTCATGCCTACCCAATCTAGCCAGAAATTAAAAAGTAGAAATATTATTTACACAGGACACAATTCTACTTTTCAGCATCTGCAAACTTGCCCTCTACATATTCTCAGTGTACTTCCGGTGACAATCCAGATTGTAGAACTCTGAACCTCTCCAGTTGCTTTCTCCTTCCCCCACAGTTTGTTCGTTTAAACATTAGATTCCTTACTTTGCAGAGCCAGGGTGGCTGCTTGTGGATCCTTTCTGGCTCATACTGCTTTCAGGATATTCACCTGCAAGAAAACAACATGGATTACTTGAGAGACTACCATGCTTACACTGTAATCATTGATTTGCTTAGCCGTATAGCTTTTACCAAACAAATTACAACAGTGTAATTGCAACGGGTAGGCAATGGGATCAGGCGTGTGCTCAGTCTAGACTATGGTCCCCATAAGACCTTCTCCCTTATGGTACCATAGTAGCCCTGTTGATTGCAAAAGGGAACATGTTGTTCTTTCAAAGAAGGTGCCCACTGGGGGATTTAAAAGTAGAATGGAAGATGAATTTCTAGGTTCACTGAGAGCAGTTCAATGATTTAACAGGGCATCATCTATTCCTGTATTCAAAAAAGATTGAGGGGACCATGCTAACAATGGGCTAAGCAGGAAGTGTGAATCTGCCTGTAGATTTCCTCCACGCTCTAAGAAGCTCCTTCACAACAGCCTTGTGATCCTCTTGGGGATGCTGTGCATCTTTGATTAACCCTCCTTGCTGAGTGGCGAAGACTGCTTTTAATGTGTCTCTTGGGGCAGCTTTTTAAATTGCTGATCATTTCAATTCATTTTTAATATCCTTGGTTTTAACTAAATACCTTTTTATCCTGAACTGCCAAGAGATTGAATAGCCAGTAATGCATCAAATTTAATCCCATAAATTTAATCCCAACCAATAAATATACATTTAAATTAAATACATAACTGAATAACCAGTTTTGAAGACATTTGGTTGCAGATGAAATGCAAGCTAAAATTAATTTTCTTATTGTACTACATTAAAACCCTCCTAACTTTCATAGTGTAAAAAAAAATCAAAACTATCTAATCTGTAACTTATGCCAAAGCCAGATGTTAAACTACCTCCGCCTGCAAAATACAACCTATATCACTTTTAGAAGCTTATTAATGAATTCAGATTTGAGAAAAAAAGATTTCACTTCATGTTGGATTCAGTTAATTATTCCTTTTTAAAAAAACCCTATCCGAAACAATTTTTAAACCACAAATATCAAGTATGTTTTGAAATGCTGGATATCTTCTAAAGGTAAATCAGTTCACAACACAAATCAATACAGTAACATACATATATAATAATAATAATAATAATAATAATAATAATAATAATAATAATAATAATAATAATAATAGTAAAGTTGGAAGGGACCTTGAAGGTCATCTAGTCCAACCCCCTGCTCAGGCAGGAAGCCCTATACCATTTCAGACAAATGGCTGTCCAGTCTCTTCTTAAAAACTTCCAGTGTTGGAGCATTCACCGCTTCTGGAGGCAGGTTGTTCCACTGGTTAATTGTTCTAACTGTCAGGAAGTTTCTCCTTAGTTCTAGATTGCTTCTCTCCTTGATTAGTTTCCACCCGTTGCTTCTTGTCCTGCCTCCAGGCGCTTTGGAAAATAGCTTGACTC